AAATGAAACTAGATCTGTTAAGCACTTGCTTGCACAAGATATGTAAACTACAAGTCAGTTNTTGTACACTTGTGCTTCCTTCAATTCACCTAAGGTGAGAGACCTGGGAGATACAGTGTAGCTATGGTCAACTGTTATCACTATTACCAAGAGTGCTACAGTGGAACCTGGTAATCCGGTCCCTCTTGGGCCAGTTTTAAATGGCCTGATTATGTAGGTGGCTGCATTACAGATCAGCCTCTGTAATACAGCCATTTAGTACGGGATTTTGGCTTATGGCTGTAAGAGTGGTGGCCTCATTATTCAGGTGACCTTTAGGACAGGTTTAACTGTATTATGGAAACATTATGAATTTATAATACTGTTAGTATTAATAAAACATTAATAATAACAATACACTCAACTTAATACAAATAAAATAATGACACAATCAACAAAGGGAGTGTTAATGAATAAGCAATAGTAATACTGCAGGCATGTATACATGGTGTCTGTAACATTAAAATCTTTATACTTAAGAATAGAGTCAATGGATGAATGCAATGTACAATGTTTATACATCAAGTGAGCTAACACGTAATTCCACTGCAGCAGATGATGAATTACATGTACTTGATGTAGTCACTGGATGAGGTTTCTTTTTCAATATCTTACGACAAACAATATTAACAATAACACTATTGATCTCTGGCCTAAAATAAGCCTGAACAACTGGACTCAAGACAACGACCAGGAAACAGAACATGAGAGCAGAAATTGTGAGAACACCAGGAGAATCAACAATAGCCAATAAAGTACCAAAGAATATGCTAGGAGTGAAGAATATACAGTAGACTAGCATCATGGACCCAAATATACCAAACAACTTCTTCTTCTTTGAAGCATAGACACTCTCTCCTACTATCATTGACTGATTATTAATAAACTTACGAGTGAAACAAAACGTCCAAATTGATGTAACTACAATGATACACAATAGTGATGAAGCAAGTAAAAAACGGAAGATAGCCATAACAGGACTGGTGGTAAAAGCATAGCAGATTCCTAGATAATCTATATAGCGGTATACTACACCAGATCCATTCATAAATCCTGAAGAAAAAAGGACAGCATTGATCATCCATACAATAATGACAAGGACCAGAGCTACCCTTGGACTCATGAACCGCTTGTGGAGATGAGGCTTTACAATGGAAAGGAACCGATCAATTGAGACAAGACTCAGCGTCATAAGCATCACATAACAACTAAAGAGTATGATATAAACAGTAAAGCCACAGGTTCCTTGCTTCTCCTCATCAGTGTCACCAACAACCCACTCACGAGCAGCTAATGCAGCAAAAGTGAAGGGAAGATAGAGTGTCAATACAAGGTGTGCCAGTATGAGAGAAGTAAAGAATATTGTTGATGATTGTTTCCAGGACTTTCTTTTATATATAGTAATGACCAGTACAACACCATTAGCCAGAAAAGATAGTATCATCTCAAGACAAAGAATTCCTGCTACTGCCTCAGGACTGAAATCACCAGTAAAAGTATAATTCCTTTCCATCCTTTCTTTCACAAGACTGAACTGACAAACAAAGATTACTAAATAAATGAACACACACACGTAACTCACAGCTAAAAATACTTCCCTAGAAATGAAACTAGATCTGTTAAGCACTTGCTTGCACAAGATATGTAAACTACAAGTCAGTTTTTGTACACTTGTGCTTCCTTCAATTCACCTAAGGTGAGAGACCTGGGAGATACAGTGTAGCTATGGTCAACTGTTATCACTATTACCAAGAGTGCTACAGTGGAACCTGGTAATCCGGTCCCTCTTGGGCCAGTTTTAAATGGCCTGATTATGTAGGTGGCTGCATTACAGATCAGCCTCTGTAATACAGCCATTTAGTACGGGATTTTGGCTTATGGCTGTAAGAGTGGTGGCCTCATTATTCAGGTGACCTTTAGGACA